CACCCTTTTGCCTATGGTATATTGATGGCACAGGGAAAGCTTTACATAGGATTCTATGTCTTTAAGTGATGCAGGCATGCAAGACATATTCATTATCACAAGTACCCCATTCGATTTCAATCCGAGGCTTCATGTACTCTCAAAATATTGTTCATATGACAAAGCTCTTTTGTGCTTTCAAACTTACCTTGAAAAATTATGTGAAAGCAATTGTCTTTTTGCCTACTGGTAGTTAAGCCACTGTCTAAAAACAAGTTTCAACTGGCACTATATAACCTGTTGTCACTCTCACTGACTAATAACTGATCGTGTAACGTAAAATATTAATTGCCGGGAAAATACCGTCCTTAGGTAATGTAGTGTCCATGCATAAAATCTAATGTGTTGTTAGATTATATATTACGGTATGCGTAATACAAGGTCAAATTCATAGCCTCGTTCTGAGAACTACCGGGGGCACGGGGGGCCCAGTCGTCTAAGACGCCGCTATTCGCTGCGCAGAGTTGCGTTCCTTGGGCACGCCAGAAACCTATGATTGTGGGTTCGAATCCCGGTTCGCCCCGATTACGTTTCTAGGTTTGTCAGCACCATGCCCGTGCTCATGGGTTTCACCGTAGTGGTAAACGTCTATGACCTGTATCACCTCGGGCTTTCCTCCCACATTAAGCTGACACGCTGTGATAGAACTGGAATACTGTTAAAAGCGGCGTTAAACACAACCCACTCTGGGAACTACCACATGCGAGCGAGTATCAATGGCGCCGCCCTGTTGTGCTCAATTTCCGAAGAAATAATATAGCCTTCGCCACCCTTCATTTATAATCCCATCACGTGTCAACTGATCAGTACATATCTTGAACATTATATAAATGACATGATGAGAGGTTATCACAATTGAGCGTTTTGGGGAGGTAAATATATTCTATAAGGAATATACACTTTGTTTTTAGCTTGATAAGGAATAAACATTTGTATTGAGCTTGATAAGGAATAAACATTTTGAATTGAGCTTGATAAGGAATTAACATTTTGTGTTGAGCTTGATAAGGAATACACATTTTGTATTTTGCTTGATAAGGAAGAAACATTTTGTATTGAGCTGGATAAGGAATCCCTTTTGTCAACCCTTCGTTGATGGACTTATAGAAATGCACTATTTATGCAGTGTGGTTATTTGGGAATTGACATTCACTTTGTGCGAGTTCATTGGGGTATGAAGGTTCATACTAAACGAACACACACAGAGTGAAAGTCAATTCTTATAATTTTTATATCACTATTTTATACCTCGAGGTGATGTAGCGCTTGACATATACGTGTGACTTTATGTTTACACTGACAGCCATACAACAACCAGCTGAGCCGGCACGTCTCAGGCGCCGCAATTCGCTGTGCAGAGTTGTGTCCCTTGTGTACGCCAGAAACCTACGATTATTGGTTCTAGTTCCGGGTCGCCCCGATTATGTTTCTAGGTTTGTCAGCACCATACCCATGCTCGTAGGTTCACCGAAGTGGTAAACGTCTGAGACCTGCATCACTTCGGGCTTTCCTCCCACATTAAGCTGACACGCCGTGATATAACTGGAATACTGTTAAAAGCGGCGTTAAACCCAACTCACTCACTCATACCAGCTGTATCTCGAAATAAAATAGTTCCCCAAAATGAGAGGTGACATGAGCCTATATTTGCTCAACTTGCTTTACAGGAACATTTGTTGCAGTTTGTTTACAAGAAATGTATTAAAATAATATAATCATTGGGTTAGAAAGGTCTACCTCTGTAAGTCAGCCATATGTCAAATAGATGCTATGGTAAATTCCATTAATTGCTGTGCACTGTAGCTGTCTGTCTAGACACGGATCGAGTCGATACTACGATAGCGTATGTGCATTTCTACGTTTTGTTCACTAGGAGGGCTCGTAGTGAGGATACAAGTGAATGATCATGCAGTCAACCTCTCTGGCGTTTCACAATGTATGCTAAAACGCTGAGTTCATGATTAAACGGTCTAAATTATCAGAAACAACGTTTTTGTATGTATTCCTGCAAGGGAATTCCAACGGGTTTCCCCGGGAATGTGAAAGTAGTCCGTCAGTGTTGACGTCATTTCAAGCATACAGTCTCGTGTAAAACGTATAAACGTCAAATTATGTCGTTCATACGCTTATGAATCGTGTAAACTTCAAATTAATACATTATTTTCAGCATGGTAACAATACACCGATCTATACTATATATAGCTGGATAGCTTCTACAACGATGTTGAACATGTCCAACCCATTTTCCAGATATTTCGCAGCATAGCGACGACCAACCACTAAGTCTTTTCCACGATTCCAGCCGGTCAGATCGCAGAGGGATAATCGAACCTTGTCCAATTTAAGGATGTCTTGCTTAACATCTTTGAATTTCAACATTGTCAAAATGGTGGTGCATAAAATAACTTTATGCCAGTTTGACAAGGAGAATGAGACATGTACTTTCAGGAAAATGGTTGCATTACAAAATACTGAAAAACTCAGATGAGTAGTAAACTTCATTTTCATGTAATTTAGGTTTTCCTCCCATGCTTGCCGTGAAAGGCGACAATGCTTGTCGTAAAAGGCGACTACCGGGATCGGGCTGTCAGGCTCGCTGACTTGGTTGATGCATGTCATCGTATCCCAATTGCGTGGATCGATGCTCATAATGTCAGTCACTGGATTGTCTAGTCCAGACTCGATTATTTACAGACCGCCGTCATATAGCTGGAATATTGTTGAGTAACAACAAAAATTAACAGTATATAATAACAGATGGTACTTTGATGACAGCTGGTATATTTTCTTCGATTCTGTTATTGTTGGTATTATCCAACATTTGATTTTATAAGGCTTTAAATGTTTTACTGTTATCCGCTTTCCACAACCAGGGTCCGATTGATGATTTCGGTAGGATTTTCAAATCCATTTATGCACTTATATAGCAACGTGCATGCACACGCGCGCGTGTGTGTCTGCTGCCGATTTAAAGTGCTAGCCCACTGAGATACCATGCCGCAGTTTATTTAACATGAATACCCCACTCAGACACAGTATACTGACTCCGTGCCGACCAGGCGTTGTTTTAGCCCCTTTATGCCGAGCGCCAGACAGTTTCAGTAAGACGCGGTCGGGGATCGAACCCGGAACCTTCCGCTCTCCTGGCAGACGCTCTACCACTAGACCACGGAGGCGGTCCGGCAAATAGCTGTGGAAACTAATTGAATGAACCACGTTAAATCAGTGATCACAGTGATGTCACTCGCGAAAAGGGTAAACATGTCCTGACCTACCGGTAGCACCCGCCATTCATGCAATTGCATTAAAAAAGTAAATATTTATTGCCTGTCGCAGCGCAGCAGTACTGCTGCCATGCGTCGTCAGCCTGTAAACATCTTCCCGAGGCAAGGGAGTTAACTGACTTTAAAAGTCCAATTTCCACCCTTGCCGAACTAGGCTGGAATTACTGGGCTCGATGGTTGCGCCACCAGTGGCTATTACCAATTATGTCCCTTCTAAGCCTCTCCTATGGACAAATCAGATTCCACCTCTCGTATCACTTGCGTTTGCTTCACACAAAAAAGGTGGCGCCAAGTCAGGACGATCTGATCGTAATCAAGATCTATATTGTGATAAAACGGGTCTTACATCGCGAAATGCATCAAATCAGGTGATTACAAACATGAAAGGATTTGGAAAATATCTGCTGACAACGAATTGGCGATGCACATGCTTTGCAAATCCTGCAATCGATCGAAATCTGCACGACAGTTTACGAACCGGATTTCGATTTCGGTGCGCGATTTTGATTGGACTATGCATAGACTCGTTAGTCCAGACAAAACGTAACTCCATAATACCAGCCTAGTTCGGAAAGGGTGGAAACTGGATTTTTATAGTCAGTTAACTCCTTTGCCTCAGGAAGATGGCCTGTAAACAGATATTCAAGTGATCGATGAACCAGAAAATTCAGTGACACGAGAGTACCATTACTGATTTTGTTGAAACAAATGAAAACGGTATGTTAAGTTTGACTTACGTCAGCAGTGTACAAGTGCAGAGATCTTGCTCCTTATAAGTAAAGAAAAAGGTTAAGAAATATATTCGTTTTGCAACACCTTTGGGCACAGTTTTAAAGTCGGCGCAAACATTTCTTTTGTAGTTGACTCAGCATAGATAGATGCGGCTGAGCTTATGATGGAACTCGGGGTCTTCAGTCCACCTGCTGAAACATCGACCCAGTTCAAGTAAATATAAATTGTAAATGCACGAGAATAACCCGCTTAGATATTCTGCCGAAACAGATTCCACTTAAAGCAAAGTGCAAGTAGCATGTTTGCCGTAAAAGGCGACTACGCTTGTCGTAAAAGGCGACTAACGGGATCGGGTTGTCAGGCTCGCTGACTTGGTTGATGCATGTCATCGATCCCAATTGCGTGGATGATATGATATTAATCACTGGATTATCTGGTCCAGACTCGATTATTTACAGACCGCCGTCATATAGCTTGATATTGCTGAGTGTGGCGTTAAACCACAAACCAACCAGCCGACTGTGGAAAAAATATGAATGGGTATTAAGTATATTGTTTATATACTAAGGGCATAAAGAAATCAGAATACACCCCGAAATGAACATTGAGGTGAGACGTGCGTGTGTGTCTGTGTGGTTCGTGCGTGCGTGTGTGTATGAACTCGTCCGGACTTATGCTGGTTTCATCGTGCTAACACACTTGGATACATCACACAATATGCTGACTCCGAGTTGACTGTTACCTATTTTATCCCCTAAAAGTCGAGCAAGTATCATCATATAATGTCTTTTGGTATGACGTGGGGATCTTCCGCTCTCTTGGCAGACGCGCGCACTATCCACTAGACCACGGAGGTGGTGAAATCGCAGAGAAATATAACCACTAGCAGTGAAGTATGAAAAGGCGAAGCTGCAAAGAAAAAATATTTAAACTTTATTTAGCGGATATCACTTAAGAGAGAAGACAAAGAAAAAGAGGTGCGTCGAACTAGAGAATCTATTTATGTGCAATGTAAACATAAGGATTTGATGAAAATACAATTCTGTTAGAAAGTAATTAAAGCAAAGTAAAATATGGTTCTTGTCTAAAATGGTGTTTATAGGTACAAAGGTCAAAAGAAAGAGGATGTTGATGTCAGTTGTATCCATACGTAAGTTAAATGGTTTTCTAATTCAGAAACTAACTAGGCAGAAATAGGCTCAAGCCAAATGCAAAATCCTGTCATAGTTATTAATGATGCCATATATTCTTGGACTGACTAACAAATTCGTTGAAATTGTTAATACCTGTGCTGAAGTGCTGAACGATCATACATTGTTGACAAGCCCAACATGTTGTCATATTAGAAATACGCCACTGTTTCCATAGCAAAGCGTTGCTCGTCTGTCTCAACCAATTTGTACTTAGCGACCTCCATATCTCTCTTGCACTTGACAAACCATGTCACCAGTTCCTTCCCTAAGGCATTACATAGATCCTCATCCTTTTCCAGCTCATCCAGAGCTTCTGCCAGGGAACGCGGGAGATATTCGACGTCCTCTGTTTTGCCAGGAGGTGGGCACTCCATCTTTTTAATTACGCCGTCCAGTCCAGCAGCAATGGTAGACGCCACTACGAGATACAAATTGCTCTTTCCGCCAGGTAGTCTGTTCTCAAGGTATGTTCTTGAAGGTCCATCGTTTTTTGCGCGAATGCATGCATATCGGTCCTCTATTCCCCAATAGATAGGTGATGGATAAATAGATTTACCCAGGTTCCTATAGCAGTTGACAGTAGGGTTTGCAAAGGCACAGAGAGCTTTACTGTGCTTCAGGATACCAGCAATCCATTGTTTTGCAACTGTAGACAGTTTGTCTGGAGAACATTCGTCATAAAATATGCTTTCACCACATCTATTCCATAGCGAAAAATTGAAATGTGTGGAGAGCCCCATCTGATCATAGGAATGTTGGGACATGAAGGTGATTTTAAAACCCTCCAAATCTGCCATTTCCAAGAGACCTTCCTTCAGATTAAAAGCCATATCCGGGCTCTCGATTCCATATTTGGGTTTTGTCACAGCTTCAAAAAGCCCAGGTCCAATTTCAACATAATACCTTTCAACATCTATCTTGGATTCTTGAAAATGCCTATCAAAGTGGAATAACAATTTGCTATGTTTGTTAAATACCCTGTTACTGTACACATCTCTTCCTGCAAACACTGGCTCCATGGTGTTATTGTCAAGGAGTTTGAATTCAATCTCATGGCCGGAATACAAATCAAATCCAAGATCACCCAACCTCTGAAGCTGCTGTCTTGCAGCATACCGAGGACACGCTTCTTGTGGAGAGTTGTCTTTCTTCCATCGAGACTCACACAAGACTTCAGCAACCTTCACTCCGTCCGGAGCCCAGGGAATGGACCTCAGTGTGTCAGGGTCAGGAAAGATCAACATATTGCCAACATTATAGTTCTTCTCATGAAATACTGGAACTACTTCTGTTCTAGGACCAAGTAACAACGTGTCTGCAATGAAACCAATGTAAATTATGATTTGTCCAAGCAATAACGTGCGACACAGACTGACACTTGTGATCCTCAAAGGAACACTGAACATGTTAATTTAACATTACGTACTCTTTCTATGGAACGGTTACTTCGAAAGATGTTACAATTACATTCAATTACATATGCGATTGTTAAAATAATGATAACCGTAGAATGAGTGAGTGACCTGACGTTATATATAGTTCAGTAAAATCATACAATGTCATGTTTCTGCGTGAAGCAAGCCCAACGTTATTCCGGTCATTTGTGCTTTATGTGTCCTACCATAACCAAGAGTGTGTGGAGTTTTACGCCGCTTTTATATTCCAGAAATATCACATTAGGAGGACACCAGAAACGGACTTGGTACAATTACCCATGTTGGGAAACGAATCAATGCCATCAGTGTGATAAGCGAACGCAGGTGGGCGAGTGTTCATGGTGTAGTCGGAGTCGTGCAGTTGACTCTGCTTTTGGCCGAGATTTCTTCTGGGTGTGGAGAGGGCATTTATTAACCAAATTGCTGCCTCACCGATATATTATGATGGCAGTTTCATTGATGGTTACGTTAACTCCGATAAAAAAAAAATCTCAAGAAAGGAACTCAATAAACATTCTGTTACAAAAGCATTTTAAAATTATACTTATCTCATGAAGCAATACATGTATTGCAATGTTGTGTTCCAACTACTGGGACTATTTGGGACTGCGATCATATCATGAGTGCCTTTACCTTAAACAGTGCATATTACTAAATATTATGACAAATCCCAACATTGTTTCACGTACAAGTATTTCTGCGCTATATGTTTTGGAGCGAGATGCCTCTATCATTAGTATCGACATCGATGTATTGCCATCCGACCATGGCAAATTGCAAAACATCGATATATCGATAAATCATTACATCCCTAATGGTCATACTTTATCAGAATACTCAATGTCATCCCTGGAACACACAAAGACATCCCCAATGGTCATACGTCTACACGAACACACAATGTCAGCCCTAATGGTCATACTTCCACAAGAACATACTATGTCATCTCCAATAGGCATACTTCTCCAAGTGAGTGAGTGCATGAGTGAGTGAGTATGGGTTTTACGTTGCTTTTTGCAATATTCCGGCAATGTCACGGCAGGGACACCAGAAATGGGCTTCACACATTGTGGGGAACCGATTCCGGGCCTTCGGGGTGTCGACCGAACGCTTTAACCATAGTCGCAGTCCCCAGCGAACATTTTCACAACGTTGTTGATAAGTTGTGGAAATTGTACATTGTAACATAGCGTTTAGTAGCTGTAACAACGTCGTATAACGACCACTAGTATCGTTACAATTAGTTTCGTAAACAAGAAACTATTGTATAATCATTATTTACATAGAAATCCAGTCCCTAGTATGAAACAAAAGTATATTTACAAACCTAAAACATGTCTTTCAATGTAAAAATAAAATAAAATTCAGATATTCGAAACAGAGGCCAACAACAGTGTTGTTCAATGACCGCCATTTTCAAAGTACACATCGACCGCTCCCCAGCTAGCATCCATGCAGACGTTGGCCTCACCTTGTCAATGGTTCTCAATGTCGCCGTCGGATTTTTTACGTTGGCCCAATATTTGGGTAACATTTCAGGAATGTGGTTCAAGGGATTCTACTCTAATTGACAGCTTCTCCTGGAGAGCAATGTGACTTTCGTGCCTCTCTTCGAGCAGACGACGAGATATTAGCAGACACACAAGCTCGGACATCGGAGTACTGTTTTTTATCAAATATATCGGTAAGAGTTCAATTAATGTGTTTGTATATGTTCAGGTATATTTCCAAACAGAACCCGAGAAAAAAGAGCCATTATACATTCAGATATACAAACACGAGAAATTTGTTTCTAGAAATTGAAAACACCATGTTTGTGAGCCAGCTGGAAACAGTTGATGAATCTTCGGACAGCAAGTGAACCACCAACTACATAAAAAACTACTGATGGCTGTAGTTTTAATTGAACATTGCTTTCATTCTTTAAAACTTAGCCTTTTCTTGTGGCAGCTCATATGAACAATACAAATAGATGTCAAAAAACAAAGTAAGTCCTAACGATGACAAACATAAGACGTTTATGTAGAATTAGGCATCAATTTGGATTTGCCCGTGAATTTATTTAACCGAGAACAAAATCCCGATAGAATTAGCAGTGCTTTGACGTAAAAACAAAATTGCAAAATTATGCAATGATAAGAATATCTTCATGAAATTCCTGTTACGTCTATATGGGTTTGGTTGGTTTGTTTGTTGTTTAACGCCGCACTCAATAAATAATCAAGCCTGGACCAGATAATCCAGTGATTAATATCATGAGCATCGATCCACGCAATGGCTTGTTTGTTTGTTGCTTAACGCCGCACTCAGCAATATTCCAGCAATATGACGGCGGTCTCTAAATAAGCGAGTCTAGACCAGACAATCCAGTAGTTGACATCATGAGCATCGATTCACGCAAAGTCATCGAAGCTGACCACCCGATCCCGTTAGTCGCCTCTTACGACAAGCAAAGTCGCCTTTTACGACAAGCATGGGTTGCTGAAGACCTATTCTACCCCGGATCTTCACGGGCATATAACGCGGGGGGATATAGGGAACAGCCAGTATGTCTGTCCGTCCGTTCGTCTGTCCGTCCGTCCGTCCGTCCGTCCGTAATCATTTCCTTTTCCGGGTCAGAACTCGAAAACCATTCGTGTATTTGATCGAAACTTGTTTCCATCGCAACAAGTTGGAATTAGGTTCTATAGGGTATAGTTCGTTTCTGGAGCATAACTCAAACCCCATTCAATACTTTCTAACAAAACTTTGCATGTCTATCAAACTTATACTGAGCTGGTGCCTTTTCCTATGTAGGAATTATAGAAATTTGTATTCTTTACGTTTCCATGGTAACAAGATGGACTTAGGTTCTATAAGGGTGCACGTGGTGTTCGTTTCCGGAGCGTAACTCAAAAACCGTGAAATACTTTCTTACAAGACTTCGCATGTCTACCAGGCACATACTGAACTGGTACCTTTTGCTATTTAGGAATTTTATATTTGTTTATTTTTTACGTTTCCATGGCAACAAGTTGGATTTAAGTTTTAATATAGGGTGGGTTCACTTATGGAGTTTATCAAATAAACTGTTAAATATTTCCTTGCCAAACATTGCATGTCTATATATAAAGCACATTCCGAACTGGTGCCCTTTGATATTAAGGAGTTTTAGAAATGTTTATTTTAGAATTTCCATTGCAGCTATTTGGACATGGGCTAAGAGAAATGTTGGGTCAGTTACCTGGTTTGGGACCATTACGGACGGGGGATATAGATGACTTCGTTGACTATACGCTTGTTTAGTTATTGTTTCTTGTAATTTGTCATTTGTTTGCATTAAACACAAAAGAAACACACTTGTTTTACTTTCCATTTCATATGGATGCGACCATGGTGGATCTTTTGTCGATAAACAATGTATGCTTCTTTAAGAACATTCAACTCTTGACTCGTAACATACAGAATCGCACATTTATTTGTGGTTACTTTACAGACAGCTTTCTGACTCTTGTTAAAAAACTATAAATATGGCTTTGTCGGGCATTGCTCAGGGGTATAATGTCTTTTGTAAACCACCTAGTACTAACAATATATATATATATCTGACAGAAGCTGAGGTGTACCAAGTGTTGTGTGTGTCGGGGGAACTAAGTGCATCTTTGTTGCAATGAGAAAAAAGCGATTGTGTACTTGGGTCACTTCTTTCAAGGAGTTGGCGAATTGACGGGACGTTTGTCATCATTTGTCGTGTACGTCGTGCGCTTGAAGCGCTAGTTAAACTGTGTAAACTCCGAGCTTGCGAGGAGGTTCACACAAAAGTTTAACCAGCGCTTTTAAATCGTTCACACTTCAATGAACCCATCCAAACTGACGTTCAATTCTTATAATTTCATACTTTGTAGTTTACTGGTCTCGCCGAATAATATCGCAACTTATGTTTGCTTAAATTTGAAGTCCTCTGGTTTCGCAAGAACATTGCAACAATGTTATTTTGTCGGTATTTGCCGGCACTCGGTCACATACGTTTCCCCACTCATACTCAGTTACGCAAAGAAAAATAGTTCTTTGAATATATACAACATAAAGCAGAAATATGTCAACATCATTTCATTCTCTGAACAAACTTACAAACAATATTTGGGATAAGTCAAATCCTAAAAATACAAAATCTTACATGTTTTTCCCGATACGATAGTAAATCGAATTTTAGTTTGGGATTGATCAGGAGCAGTCGCGTTTGCTCTGTCAGCGGCCACATCCGAACAGGGTACGACATTGTTTTTTCTGGTGCCAGATTCCTGTCATTTCCGAAAACAAGGCACCAAAGTCAATATCGCTCATTAAATCGATTTCGTTCACCTCAGTAATTTTACAGAATTAATTTTCTTCACTTGCGTTATTAGTATTGAAAGATAGCCATTCCATATCCAAATCACCGCATGTTTCATGTAGCAGCTAGACGACATCAATCACCAGGACCAAAGCATTTATTTATTCATGAGTCAGATGAAATGTTACGAGACAAGGCATAAATACTAAATTAATTATATTGCTGATAAATGCAGGGATTATAAAGAAAATAGAAAAACGATCGAGAATTCGGGGAGACCCCGGAAAGAAGTTCCGGCAAAAGTTCAAACGATCAATTTCACAAAAAAATTGTTCACATCGTGTGAACTTTTCCGTCCGTTCACGGGACTGTGAACTCCAAATATCAGATCACGTGACTACCAATTTAGCCAATCAGCATGAAGGAAACAGTGTAAACTTTAAAGTAAGAAATTATTTGAAAATTATAGCTTATTTGTTGTTTAACGTACAATCGAGACTTGGACAGTCAAACCAGTAATTAACATGGCAAGCAACTATCCACGCTGTTCAGGTATGATGGTACGTA